ACTCCACTATATCTTTACATAGATAATAATGTTTTAAATCTCATATAGATATATAACCTTTAAAGTTAAACTTTTTTGCCACAGCCCTCTGTGTTGACACCCCAGGACATAACACCCTGATGATGATGATGTGTGTGTCAGTTTGACAGTGACTATGCAGACTTCCAGCTCCAGGTTCAGGCTTTGTTCCAGTCTCTCCAGTCTCTGCTGGACTTTTGGTTCCAAAAGTCTCTCACAGTGAGTTTAACACAATCTAAATCTAGCTAAAACCAGCTCAGAATCATGTTGTGTTGCCTTCAAACTGATGGTGTTTGTGTTTCAGACGGAGCGGATGCTGGAGTTGCTGGCGGTGTTTGAGTCTGGTCCGACTGCCCGTCTGGACCTGAAGCAGCACTACCTGCTGCTTCTGCAGCGCTACAGCAGAGAGCTGGAGCTGCTGAGGAAGACCTACCAGAGACAGAGAGATAGACCGCCCATTGGACGCAACCTGCCTCCGGTACCAACACCTGTCTGTCTGCCTGTCTGTCTGACTGACACTAATGATAGGGGGCCTTGGTAGCTATAATGAACATACTATTATCAATGAAAACGGGCGTGAGAGCACAGAGATCCGCTACACAAACAAAAAAAAGATTTTCAATTAATATTTTTGATGTGAGGCCTTTTTACACTGAAATGGGTCATAAAGTGTCTGAAACAGCAGACTGAACGACAGGGAAATAATAGTTTGCTTTTAACTTTATTCCTCACAGCTTACTGTAGTCTGTAGATGTTAACTTACCCATATCACACAAACGCAGTGAAAAACTTCACATCGCCGTTCTGGTACTAAAACTAAAGACACAATCCCAAAGCAAACTTTCAGTTGTTTCTTTCCACTCACACACGCTGGCCACATCCAATTTATAATATGAATTAATTCAAAGTATATCTTTAGTGATGTGAAACGCAACCACATCTGTAATTTATTATCACTGGAGCCCCTTATTCTTATATGGGAAAAGGATTCCACACGTTCTTCATAGATGAGTGAATTGAGTGGATTTGGGCTTGTTAACATTTGTAGTTTAAATCTCGATTTTAGGATTCAGACGTTTTTTGCATCTTTTTTAAAATTTGAATTTGATTAAATCAATTTACCGCCCAGCTCTAGGTCAGTTATTATTAGACCGCTCTCTGTCCCTGTCTTCTCCTCAGGTGGCAGGTAGGATCCTCTGGTGTCGTCAGCTCTTCAGGAAGATTGAAGCTCCCATGCTGATCCTGAAGAAGAAGCTGGACTTCCTCAAGGTACAACCTCTGATTTTACCTCATCAGTCGTATCAGTATTACTGATCAATATGACCTCAGGGAGTCTTCCCGTCTGTCTCTCTGCCAGGGGCCAGAGATGACCAAAGTGATCCGGAGCTACAACAAGATGGCCGTGGTGTTGCTGCAGTACGAGGTGCTGCACATACAAGGCTGGAGTCAGGCAGCAGAGAGCGCACCGCACTGCCTGAACGCCGCCCTGCTGGTGCGACAGGAGAACAGCAAGGTGCATCAATGGATGAGCTTTCAAATATCTTTGGTTAAAGTAACAGTTTTAATGATTAATTATTGCCTTTTTCAAGTTCTAATCAAATCAGTATATTAGCAACAATGAGCAGGAACTGCTGATGTAGGAGTTCAGTGTGAAACTGAAAACGGTCGACTTGAAGTATACAACTGGTCTCAGTTCTCAGGCTTCATTTATAACATAGATTTATACCACAGGCTGTGTAATTAAAAACATCCGTAGTTTCCGTGATGTCCTGTGAAGAGCCTCAGTGTTATCACCTGTCACTCAAAGCGACCACGCCCTAAATTATGCAGAACTTTAAGTCTTCATATAATTTAAAGGGGTAAGAAGTACAGTTGTCATGAACAGGGGAATTTGCTCAAGCGACTAAAGGGCTGTAAACGTGTTTATTTCTGCTGTAAAGTTGGACATTTTAATATGGGTCCTTATGGAGACTGACTCACTGTTACTTCAGTATTTGCTTCATTTGCAGCTATGGAGGTTGCCTCTAAAATTAATGTTGGTTTTTATTTTTGGATCAAGTCTACATCCAACACATCATCCTTGTTGTTTGTTTAGATATTATATCAGGACAGGAGCACAATGTGTGAGGCAGTGTTTATTTCCACAGGAGATTTTTGTGAACCTGGACCCTGTGGTGATGGAGGTGCTGCAGGAAGCCCGGTGGATGACCAAACTTGGGGTGACCGTGCCAAAGGTCATCCTAAAAATGAGCTGCAGAGAAGAACAGGTCAAAGCTCTGTACAAGCGGTGAGGACAACTGCTATCTCTTTACTGTGCGAAGCTAAAGTGTTTGACGCGCTCAGAGAGGTGGAATATGAAGCCATGAAAAAATAGAAAAAGACACTTACATATGATACGTTTTATTTTCCACTTTTGCTTGACTTGATAAGTTGAATTTACGCAACTTGATGTTACTGAACTGATCTTGATCACATTTTACATGAACTGTCATTTTGCCTTGACATGACTGCACCGAGTGTGAACCTATCATGTCGTCAACCATTGTTTTTTTGGAGAAACATTTTAAAGCCTCCAGTTTGGCGTTACGGTCGTCACCATGTTGGGTTTTTGCAGCCAGTGGAGGTGAAGTACTGCGAGTTGAGCTGCTCTCATTGGCTGCGCAGTTTCAACTCATCCGTAGCAGGAAACAATGGCAGCTCGCCCGGTCACATGTGATCTGGTATTCAGATAAAACAGTAAAATGTGTTTGTGAAACAGGATTTGATGGAGAGAAATAGTCAACAACAGAATCTGGATCCATACTTGATCAAGCACTGTCTGACAGTTTGATCTGAATTTGGTGCGTTGAGCTGACTGACTCACTGAGAATGAGCCTGTCAATCAACAAAGTAGCCCACCCTAAAGCATTACCCTGCCTTTATGGTCTGTTGGACTCTAAATGGGACCATCAGTTACTAAATAAACATCATGCTGTAGGAAAAAGACTGAAAAATAGGGACTGAGACCAGAAACTCATCCAGGAAACTGTTCAATCAACTGAGAAGTTGTCTCATTCTCCATAAGAATGATATCAGTGGTATTGCAGGCAATGGAGCTGCCCCCTGCTGGCCATGAGAGAGAATGTAGGTTTAAGACACTACTGCGTTGGCTTCACTTCACAGACCCAGAAGCTCTGTCCATAATACCACTGTAAAATATAAAATATAAACCTTGTATTATTAACTCTGCTTGGTCCAGGCTCCTGGATTACTCAAGGACTACAGCTCGGTGGTTGCCAGGACCCCCCTTCTCTTCCCCATGATGCAGCCTCATTTGCCGGGGTGGAGGTGGCCTCTCTCCCTGGACTCACCACACTGCTCCTGGACTGCTCTCAACACTGACTCATGTAAGCAGGAATAGCAGGGAATAGAGAACATGAAATGTGATCAACAATAGTGAAGCATCCAGTAATATCCAGTTCCACTCTTTGTCCTGCGCAAGTTTTATAGAGAGCGTGTATCTGGCTCTGAAGATGGATTTCAAGTAGCCAAACGTTGCCACGGACCTGTTGGAGTGTCGCATCGGTCGTCTCTTCAAGGCCATGTCGTCCTGCCAGTCTGCTGGACCTGGCCTGAAGACTCGCCTGTCTCACCTTCAGGACCTCCTGCTGCAGACAGACAGCTCAGTTCAAGCTGCTGCTTGTCACTCTGAAATGGTAATACTGTTGATAAATTCAAACTTTGAACAACCTAAATGGATTTGATGTCCAAGGTCTAGTGTGTAACACTGAGGAGGAATATTAGCAGAAATAATAATAATATTCAATTGTTATGAGCTACCCTTTACCTTAGAATGGAGATGTTTTTTTATCTACAGAGGGGAGCAAGTCCTCTTCTACAAGAGTCTGCCATGTTGGACCGCCATGTTTTTACAGTAAAGCTTGAATGGACAAACACTAACTCTGTTATAGGAAGCGCCACTTAATTCCTACACACTGGACCATAATAAATGACCAAATTGTTTTTTATTTTTATCACTCTTTCAAGCCATGAAAAATGCATGCAGGAGTTTTTCACATTTCTCTGCTTTTACATAATATGTTATATATACATATATATTAGACTCGTTGAGACAACAAGAATATTTGGGCGAGACAATGCCAGGTTTGAGAAGTTTGGACAAGCTGGCCGTGGGTGGCAGTGGTGCAAACTATTCCATCAGAAAAACCCATGTAATAATCGTATATATCAGTCCCTTGTGGGTAAGGCACTATGTTGCCGGGTTCAATCAGAATCAGAATCAGAATCCAGAATCAGAATCAGAAATACTTAATATCCAAGGGGGAAATTATTTTTTTTTATTATTTAACAGGGTTTAAGTTCATCTGCCACCTCTGACTGTGTGTGTGTGTGTGTGTGTGTGTACAGGCAGAGTCAGCAGGTTGAGAAATACGTGTTTGAGCTGATTGAGGAGCTGAAGAGGAAGATGAAGACAACAGAGACCGTTAATCTGGAGGTAACACACACACACACACACAGAAGACACAAAAGGTTAGTTTTTCATTTATTAATTTTCCTCTTTTCTCTCTTCCTCCTCAGGGATCTTTCCAGTGTCTCCATCCAGACTCCAAACAGAAGATTCGCTGTCAGTCTTGTCTTCCTTGTCGTTTCTACAACCTGATTGGTCAGCTCTGTCATCGCAACACTGAGGCTCTGGTCAAAGGTCAGCCATCTCCTTTTTCTAAATACAATCTTTGTTTTGCATTAATTGAAAATTTCCTCAGAGAAATTTGTTTAATACCATATTTAAGCCAAATAATTACAATCTGCGACACCTTCTGTTGGTGCAGTCATCCCTAAGTTTGCAGCTGTATTTAAGCTTCACCTGCCACCAATAAGTATTCACAGATCACGTTCACTTATGCTATGTTAACACCATTAAAATTCTTCGAATGAGTGAAAAAGGTTTTGTGAAAAAAAAGTTTAGCATCTCTGAGTGTTCATTTTGATAGTAAACTAAAATTAAAGCTTCTATTTGTAACTTTCATTAAACCGTTGTTAGTTGTGACACCAGTGGCTGTTAAGTGAACAGTCAGCGTCGGCCAACAGTGACAAACACTGAACGCTGTAAAATAACTGACAATCATATTTAGAATAACGTTACTATCTGTAATGTTCCTATATTTTATTTGGACCATTAGCTCCATGCTACTAACTAGCTCGCCGTTTACAAATCAGCCATCAGCCAACACCACGAAGCAACCGACACCAGACCCACACCGTACAGCCAAGACACAGCCAGCTGGACAACCCCAGCTTAGCTTAGCTATAGTTAGCTAGCTGGATGCCCGTGCCTCACATTGCTCTTGGGTAGTAGAGAGCTATCGTTAGCTTTGTACCGCTACATCATTTATTATTGGCTAAAATCAACACTGTTTGTCAGTTTGTGGATGTTAGCAGACTCCAGTTATCAGCTAACACTGTTGACATTGCTACGTTACAACTTGTTCACACATTGGCATTGAAAAGTTATTAATAAAAATAAAACGTAAAAAGCTTCAGAATCGTACACATGGAACCATTAACTGAAAAAAGAACCTCTGAAAATTCAGAACCAGTTGCTCGCTGCGGTGCTCCTTTATCGGACAGTACTGTACTGCCATCACCTCTCAGCTCTATTCATCCTACACTGATCTGTCCTTCCACTCTCAGCCACCAAATCCTCTCTGGACGCCCTGAGAAAGAGACTCCATGTCTCCAAATACCAGCTGCCACCCTCCTCCTCCTCCTCCTCCTCCTCTTCCTCCTCCTCCTGCAGCAGCCCACCAGCTCCTCCTCCTCTCCTGAGAGCCTCCATCCAGCTGGCCATCCCCAACATCGTCCTCAGACCCAGTCTGGACGACATTCAGGTACTTCTGTTCTGTATCGCTGCAGTGCACTCTACAGCGCTCTGAATAAATGCTGCACACTGGTTTCGTAAGATGAAGAGGCTGATGGTGTATCAAACAGTTCTGTCAGTTTCACTTTGATTTGTTATGATCTGTGTCAGAGTGGTGATGGTTGTTAGTTGTCTTGGTCATACCAAATGATTGTAAGCAGTTTAAACTGGACCACCAGCAGTATTAATAATTCATGCATGTCAACAACACATCATTAAATGTTTAGGAGTTGTGTTCTGAATATGTTGTATAAGGTGGATTTTTCAGAAACCCTGTGGGGTCTTCAGCTGTGTAGCCACGCCCACTGACAGGTGCACACAATCAGGCACACAGGCATGAAGTCAACACTGACAAACATTTGCAGATTGAGTCTGACTGAAGAGTTCAGTGACGTAGACTTCCCCTGATCAGCTGTAAGTGCAGCAGCAGCGCAGTAACAGTTCGTCTGAGGCTTCAGGACCTAAAACACTGGCTGTCCGTTGACTCTGGAGGTCTGATGGATGAGTTTGAGTTTGGTGGATGCCAGGAGAGCGCAACCTGCCTGAGCAGAAATAATGGTGTGGCACTGGTCCCAGTAGAGGGAGATCTTAACACTCCAGCATTAGAAGGTATTTTAGACAACAGCTTTCTTTGTGGCCGTAGTTTGGTTGAAGTACCGGTGCTGCTTTGTGTTTTGCTGTGGTTTATTTTACTGTATGTGCTCAGAGGTGTTTTTTGTTGTGTTACCTCACATTCACTGGTTAACTGTGTATAATACAAAATTATTAATACTTGACATTTACCACCACTTTGAAGGAGTGTAGTTAAAGTGTGTGTGTGTGTGTGTGTGTGTTTCAGAGCACAGTGAACAAGCTGGTCAGTGTCGTGTTGTCTGCAACTAAAGACGTCCCTCTGTGGACTTACTCTCATCTGCAGTACAAACAGCAGCAGGTATGCTTGTCGATCATCTCGTCTTCGTCTTGTTTTGGAAGTTACCAGACAGCCAATCACATTCCAGCATTATCCTCTCCGGCAGGTGGAGCAGGCGGCGGTTCGGGATGCGGGAGACGACATCCCGGTGAAGCCACCGGTGCTGAGGCCTTTGGACAGACAGCTGGCCGAACACAAAGACATCACCAAGTCAGTCAGGAGCTTTGTGCCGCCACATCATTAATTGTTGGCTAAAATTAACAGTTTGTCAGAATACATAAGTCAGTATCATGGATCA